GGTAATGCAAGTTCCTATTCTTCTCTCCAAATCTTCTACATGGGCCAAAGAACTTAGGGGAGGGGTCACTAGGCTATGTTTAATGGGGGAAAGCTTCTGCATACTGCTTTTGCTGTATACCCTCTCAAATGAAACAAGATAAAGCACCTTCTTTGCGCTTTCCAACATACTCAAAGGACTTGGGAAAGGCCAGAGATAATGAAACGTGAACTGCAGCATCTAGATGCTCAGCAAATGGTTATAGCTATAGCGTGCAAATATTAAACTGGGGGAAAAGTCATATTGTTTTCAGATTTATTTGATTTAAAAACAAAAACATGCAATGCATTCCTTGCACCCAAAGGAATTTAGAGCTGGTGTTATTCAAACAGCAACTTGCCATATAATCCCCTATTTGTGCACTATTTATCCAATAGCAAGTCATATGTTATATTATTGAGGTAGAGCCTGTTGCTTAAAAGAAGAGTTAAAAAAATAATAATTGAGCATGCTTAAAGAGAACTTTGGATCCTAGGCATAAATCAGGAAATATTAAGATTGTTATAAAATATACCCCATCGGCTACCAGATCTGGGCTTTCAAAATCCAGATGACCACTAGATGGCAGAAAAGAGAGTTTCCTGGATTTTTGAAGTCCACCACTGGTATCTCTAATAAATAGCAAAAATTGTATTTTTAAGTTGTCAAAAAACAAACAAAATTCAATATAAAAGATATGTTATATATCAAATAAGTTCATGTAGTTGGACAAAGTCATACCACATGATACATATGTTCAAAAACAACTACTCAAACAGCTTTCTGTTGAACAGAGAATACTAGATATGTGAAAGGACAAATATCTAATGTGTTCTGAGCTACAAAGCTCTCTTTGTCTCGAAAAAAAAAAGCTAAACATGATCCTTGTATAACATTTTACAAAAAGTCAAATAATACAAAATTTCAGTTTAGCTACAATCATATAAAAGGGATTAAGGTAGAATGCTGGAGGACACTGTGGATAAAGAAATGGAAGAGGGCCTAAAGTGTGCATGGAAGTTGTGCAACTGAGAAAAGTGAGATGCGTATTCTATGTAGTACACAGATAAAAACGAAATTGAAGTTGGGAACAGAGGAAGAACTAAATTTCAATTATATGTTACAATTATATAGTTGTATTATTGTATTACAATGATACAGCTGAATTTAGATTTCAAGGATTACATATTTATAATAAATAAAACAATCACATTTCATTATGTTTTAACGTATTTTAAAAGGAACTGCCTCCCATAAGGGGAGCTCAATCATAACTCAATATTAAACAATTATTCCAACTATATTGGTTTATCTTAAGCCTCTTCACATATCAGATTTCCTTAAAGATGAGAATTAGTTTATGGAAGTGACATATTTATACTACACAACCTGATTATGAACAAGACTTGACAGCATAGTTATTTCAAACACCTATATTCTTAAATTTTATTAACAATTTTATATTTTTATATAGAAAATTTCCTCTTGGAGAAGAGCTGTGTAGCTAGAAATATAGTACAATAGCAAAAACTTATTTACCTCAATAAGGCTGTAATCCTATGCATAAATAGTTGGAGATGTAACTGGGTATCTACTGAATAACATCTGAGAAAAGAGTCAATTTGCACTCTAAAAATTATTTACTAATCACACTATAAATATTTTGAGTCCTTTTTACAGTATTTGTAAATAACAACCTAATGCTGCTATTTAGGTGTTATGTTCATTCTACTCCTATGCCACTCCCTGATGAAAACTGTGAATGACAAAATACAATAGCATGAATTATTTACTTACTTTTAATTCAGTATGAAATACAATATAAATTCAATGAAAACACAACTAGGTGCTACTGCTTTATGCAATTATGGAACAAAAGGTCCCATTTTAGGGATTACTTGAACCCCAAGAAAGCCACATGATCTAGAGCAATTATCATAAAGTAGGACTTATGCAAAAATTAGGAAATATGCTAATGAAGAAACCACCTTTTAGGTTAATGCATTTTTTTCTTCTTACCATGTTAGAGCCAAGTGTAGGACTAGAATACCAAAACTTCTTCCTTTAAAAATAAGAGAAAACAATAACTTTTATGCTTTAATAACTGTAAACATGTATTTTCATGTAAGTGTTATTTTATTCTGTAAAATCTACCTGGAAAATACTTTTACACAAGGGCACTGAATAGTTTAGAAAGCTATTGCCACTCACCAATTACAGTTTTCATCATATCCGTGTTTTCAGTGCGGCTTCAGCAAATAGCTATAGTTCATTCATGTACAAACACAGTCTGCTTCACCATGACACCATGATTTACTATTACCCCTTTATTTTATTTATTTATTTATATTTCAAATTTAGATACCGCCCATCTCAAGAAAAAGTGACTCTGGGCGGCTCACAATTAAAATCAAACCTCAAAAACAGTTAAGAGTGAAGGCAGAGGCTCACTTGTCCCATCCCAGCAGAGAGGAGATCCCAAGGGACCCGTTCCCTCCAACGCAGGAAGATGCAGCTCAGCTCAGGGTTGGCTTAGCATGAGTGCCTCGGAAGCCATGATTGATGGCTTGGTGTAAATCCAGCCAATAATGTATTAAACCACCATTAAACAACCTAGAGGATGTGCAAAGTCAGCCTTAAAGTTGGGGGCTAACCACCCTTTTCCAGTTCTGGAGGGGACTGAAATGATCAGTTTTGGTTCCAAAGAACTCAGTTTAAAGGTCTTTGTGAGGCTTGACTTCTGCATAAAATGTAGTTTAAATAAAGGCGGGAGAGGAAGGCCTCACCACCACTTCCTCTCTAGGAAGAGCTGCTCACTCCTTATAGTAGTGTTTCTTAACCATGACAACTTTAAGATATGTGGACTTGAACTCCCAGAATTCTCCAGCAGCATTTGGAACATACTAATATTGAATCATTAATGGTTCATGTCACACCTGAATAAAACACCATTCATCAAATGAACATAAAAATTCAGAGTTCTAATCCTGAATTCAGCATTTGTCAACAACATAGATCACAGCAAAGTAACTTCAATTTAAATGCAGATTGCTAAGGTAGCAGCCAAGCACTTAATAAAGCATTCATTTATTATCAGATGATCGAAGAGTATTTAAAGCAATGGGCAATATAAACCTAGCACAAGCAGATACTGGTTTAATCAGTGTAACGTACTTGAAATCAGTGCAAATTAATTATTGAGCCTGACATGTAAAACCAGGCATAGGATTGCTCTGTAAGACTGACACTTAGGTATCATTAACTTGGAATCAGTTTCGTATAATTCAGTAAAGCTTGCTTCTGAGTAAACAAGGGATAGGGTTGCAACGCCTGTTTTACAATATTATTCCACAAACTGATGGGGGATACTGATCAGACGTTCCCAAGGGATAGGATCAAGTTTATCTTAAAAAGACAAAAAGAGGAGGGGGTGTAATGCAGAAGGAAAAACTGCGAACAGGTTTGTAACCTGGGAACGACCGTGCCTATCACGCTGCGGAGGTTTAGCGAGCGCGCGTTAGTGCCACGGCCCTTTCTGAAAAGATGAGAAAAGAAGCAAACGCCTTTTGCCCACGAAGCCAGCGCCGCTTCGCAGTTCGGGACCCGCCCAAGCGCTCCGGCCGCAAGTTCGGGGACAAAAGGAAAAGATCCACTCACTTTTTTTTAACGAGGAACTTCTTGAGCAGCTGACTAGTGGATCGGCAGAGTCGTCTGGAACAGTGCAGAGCTTGGCAGCAGCTGGGGCAAGTCATCACTGCCAGGCCTCCCAAAGCGGGAAGCCGCTGGCCCTGCCAAGGCAAACTCGCCCGCTTTCTTACGGCGGCGGCGGTGGCGGCGGCGGCGGTCAAGCCATTCCGAACGCTCCACATTGCAACCCAGCGTTCTGGAATGTCTAGGAAGGCGGGCCTGGAAACGCGCTTCCTCCGGGCCCGCACTCACGCCGCCCGCCCACATCGAGGTGGCCTGCAAGGAAGAAGGTCTTTATACAGCGCCCCCAGCGACCGGGAAGGACTTCTCGGGGTAATGAGCTTCTACAAAGTCACGACGTTTAGGCTGACCGATTTGTTAGATTTACTTCCCGCCTTATCTCTGGACGCTAAGGTAGCTTGGGTTTATTTTTATTTTTTATTATCATTATTATTATTTCTCCATAACAACAGTATTGCGAAGTAGGTTGGGCTGAGAGTGACTGGCCCAAAGTCACCCGGGGAGATTCCATAGCTGAAGGTGGACTCATATTTGGGTCTCCCCAGACCTAGTCTGACACCACATCATGCTGACATATGTGTTTGTTCTTTTTCTTATTATATTATGGGACATGTTTTCCTATCACCCAGACTGAAAAAGGGTAGCTCCCATAATCTCTAACTATATGTCAGAAATGCACTCCAGCCATATCTGAGGGTTACTCCTCTGCTATACAGTTGTAAATTCCACCTTAATAATATTTTACAGATTAAAAAATCCAGCAATTCTCCAGTAACACAAAGTATTTGCAATGGTAGACAGTACAAAAACTGAACATGTAGGATAGCTTACAACTATATGTCCCCAAATCTCACAAGTATGTCTACATGCACTCCTAATCACATCAATATCTCAAAATAATTTGTCTTTCGTTTAGAATATATATGTATGCATATATAATAACCCTATTTCAAAGCTCACATTTATACTTATTTGAGAATGTCCTGTTAATTTTAAAAAGGCTTAAATTTACTTTTTGTTAAGTCAGCTGTTATTTTCAGCATAAGAGTCTATCCCACAGATGATAACTGTAAAAGCATCTTGGATGCTTTTAGCAATAATCCTTATTTCACAACAAACTCTTTTAATACTGTATCATATCACTGGAACACTCATCCAATATATTTTAGGTGAAAATGGATGACAAATACTTTTATTTTTCAGGTTTATTTTCCATTCCATTTAACAAAGTTCTGTAGAACAAACTGAAGAAAGAAGAATAAATGAAGAAAACATACCCAAAAGCATATTTATTATTTTTCTTTTTCCAAGGAAGATTAATGGAGATTTGTTGCCAAATGAAGATAAAAATCAAATTCATTACTTTGGTATAAACATTTAAAGACAAATACAGAACGCTAACACTTGATCACAACAAATGAAGCATGTGTTACTCATGGACTTCATGAGGGACTGGAAGGCCTTTTACAGCAGCCAGAATACTTTCAACCATATTTTCCATCATACGGCGACGGGTTTGTGAAGTTGCACTTCCAATGTGGGGTGTTATAATGACGTTCTTTAAATGTAATAAAGCATGATCTCTGAAGGGAAAAAAGAGAAAAGTTGTCTGTTTCTTTTAAACTTGAAAATATAATGATGTGCCTCGCTTATGGAACTGAACAGTAATTAATATGAACATTACATACTTTGGTCTTTCAAAGTTGTCAGAAAGTAGAATCAGATCATTAACATTCTGCAGTCCTGTTCTGTCCAAGTGCTTAACCCAAACATATCTCTTCATTGACAGTTCTGGTAGCACACAAGCACACTAACTGGGAATACAGAGACCCTGTCCATTTTCCTTTGGAAGTGTCCATTTTCCCATGAGCCACTTCATAGGAGAGTACTGGTAGGCAACAGAACATGCAGACAATCAGTCTTTCAGAAGTGTGTTCTGCACTGCAGGCATTGGGAACTCTGAAATGGAGAGCTGTGCTTTTTTTCCAACAATCCTTTCTCTCCAGCACTTGAAGACAAGGACTGCAACATTTATCAGTGGACTCAGTTTAAGTGTTCCCATAACACAACTGATTGGGAGGAACTGGGATTAGATCTGGACAGGGCTAAATCTAATCCTTCCGTAGCTTAGTTGACTGGATCAGCTGACCCTTTTTTGGTGTACCCACAACCAGTTATGTGTACTGTGTATACTGTGTGTATACGAAGCTTAACTACTGAACTACTGAGAACACCAAAGCTTAACTAACTGGGTATGACCTGAAAAAACCAGTCCACCCTCAGCCATGGGAGCCAGTCACTCTCAGTCCAGTCTACCCCATAGAGTGGTGGTTGTGGGAAAAATAAGAGGGATGCTACGTACACTGCCTTGAGCTCCTGAATGAAAGGCAGACATAAATCATGTAAAAAATAAATAACTGATGTTTAGTATTTAATTCTCTCTGCTATTCCCATTCCAATTCTTATTTTCCAATATATGCTTCCCTGTGGCCAGGAAGCCCAATCAGTCCTTCTTAGGTCCGTCTTGGGCTGTTTTGAGTTGCTCCTTCCACAAGAAGGGGGAGCTAGTGTCCTGACCACATGTACTGTATGCCCTTCTTCTGTGGGCAACTCTCATTTGCCTTGGAACATTTAAAACTAACTTCTCAGTGTGAATCAGGAAATCCACATAATGAAATTAATTATTCCATGTTTAAATACCTATAGATCTAAATGCAATTGTTTGTGCACGTGTATACTTATCATTTTTTCCCATAGTATTGATTTGTTTGGAATGTTTTAATTCCTACAGTAAGCAGGGGGTTGAACCTGATTACCTAATGGTCCCTTTCAACTCTATGATTCTTTGACTTTCGAATTTGAATTCAAAGCTTAGTGAATTTAATTCTGTTACATTAACTCCATAATTGTTGTCTATTTATCTTGGTTAAATTATACTACCTTGCTCCTATAAATTAGTTTGATATTTGGAGAACTTACATTAATTCACTATAACACATAATACTCATGGAGGAAATCTATCCATGTAGTGTCTAAGAGTTGACAATGACTTGATGGCACATAATAAATCAATCAATCAATACAGTAATATACTTTATTTAGTCAAATATGATCCTATTGATTAATAGAGAACATTTGTTTTGTTTGGTGTGAATGGTCAACTATTTTATATTAAATAATCCTGCAGTCTAGTTGAATCAGTGGCAAGACAGAGTATATTTTGGGATAGAATACCTAACATGAAAGAATAAGGAGAGCCCAAAAGTTCACACTGACATATTGATTCTAAATGCTAGTTAATGTTTCAATTTTTACCTTGGCAATGGCTCTGGATATGTCACGTCCAAAGCTGCGGCCTTAATTATTTTAGTTTGGAGGGCCTTCAGCAGTGCATCTTGATCGACCACTTGACCTGAATTTAAAACAAATGAGAGAACAATTGTTTTACTAGCTCTATCAAGACACATTACTTGCCAAGCTAAAATGGGAGACTCATTTCTCAGGCATTGTTAGATGGCAAGTACCACTTTCACACCTACAGCTTGACATCCCAGTCTCGTCTCTTTCTGGCAGCAATTGTGTTGGGACCAAAGAAAGAAACTCCTTATATTTTAATGGGTAGTGTTTTGAATGAATGAGGTCTGAGCTGATGCTATCTAGTCAGGAAAGGGATTTGGGTTATGAGGGTTAATTAGTTAATACATACAATAATTTGCAGCTGTTAAGAAAAAGAAAAGTTCTTGACTGGAGGGTCAGTGGAAAAATCCTTTTATGACTTCATACAAATCAATGAGGCAACCATGAGCAAAATATCAGGTTCTGTTTTGCTCACTGCACCACACAAATAATGTAAATTTGGAAAATATGTGAAAAGGGGCAACCAAAATGATTAACAACTCCATATTATAATGAAGAACATGAACAATGTGGTGCTACCCCAGCTTCTTACTGTGAAAACAATTTCTTTGGCAGGAGAGGAGTGGTTCAAGGAGTTCTGAATTTAAAAAATATTTGGCATTTCAAGAAATTTGGAGTAGAAAGAAGGTGAAAGCAGGTATAATTCCATCTAAGGGAAAGAATATAAGAATGGTCATTTTAGAAAAGGTTTCATGATAAAGGAAATGCATTACTGTTACCTGTCTGTTGTATGTGTACATTTGAGATTTTTACTAATATTTGTAGTTCTCATGTTGATTACTATTTCAAATAGGTATTTTAGATGATGACTAACATTTATAAATTAAAGCAAACATTTCAATATCTCTGCTGATTCGTTAACTGAGAATAGTCCCCTGTTCATCTTGTCCCATGTATAGTGTAGCTCTGGAGATAACTTGATCAGAATGAAGATCAGAAGCACAAGGGGAGCAGTGAGAAAAATAATCCTAATGGACAATGGCCAACTAAGGAGGAAAATTGTGCCTCAGGAGGACTTCCTTAGAGTACTAAGGAGACACTCAGCTAGGGAAAAGTTGGCCAGGAATTCTAGAAATGGGATGGGGCATGAACCAGGATGAATAAGGTTTGCCCAGTATAGCTATCTGACAATATTACAATATCTCAGGCTCTTTAATTGAGATATAAGGCAGATGAATTACAGTCTACCTTAAATTTTCCTGACAGAATTTGATTTGTAATTTCTTACTTTCCATCGCACCATAAATGATTTTCGTTTCATCATACTCAAGGAATATGTAGCTATAATGAATCTGAAGCCATTATACTACCTCTACATATGTTGATAAGAGTGGCAGTGGGCTTCATGAGTTCTAGTTCCTTTCTCCCGATCAACTTGCATGTCTGAGGAGTCAGATTCACAGTCAACATCACAAAGTCAGCTTGTTGGAGTAAATCTTCCATCTTCTGGCAATAAACAGCACCAACAGCTTGTTCATCTGCCTCATTTCTGCAGGAAATAACCATTTAGCTCTAATAGATAGTTAGCATAAGCAATGTTTCCATTGATGTTTCCGACCTTCATGGAACTAGTGATAGACGCTATCTGAAATATGGAGCTGTGGGCACATCCACAAGTCCCTAATTCATTTCAAAGATGCCTCACTAACCATTCTTGAAGAACATGTCATCATGACACAGCCTTCCTCCCATTCTCACACCAGAGCCAAGGCTACTTAGGTTCATATTAATTTGATCCAATGTTGAAATGTTTTTCTTTTCTATCTGCTCCCAACACAAATCTTGATATATGTACAATGTATAGTGCTTCACTGGCAACTATAGTGAAGACAAAGCAGGTCTGGAATTTGTCTAGCTCCTACTGGCCTCTTTGGCTGCAACAGGCCTGCCCTCCCCTCCAGTTGCTGGGAACTTCCCTGCATGGCCATTTTGGCTTTGATAGCAGGTGTGATCAGGCACTGGGCATCTACCTGTGTGGAAAGCATCAACTAGCTTCCTTACCAGTAGAACACATTAAAAGATGTATACTCCTTCCAATCAACAGCTCACAGTAGAGCAGCACTGGCTGAAGTGGACAATGCACTTGCCATGTCCTGCCAATAGCTGTAGTGCACAAGTCATTGACAGAGTAAGCATTAGAATGAAAGAGAGATGGACAGATGAGCAAACCAAAAAAAGACAAGCAAGCAACAAAAATGAGAGACAGACAAGTGAGGTAGAATGTGAGAGTTTGAGCAAGAGAGCGAGCAATAGGCAAGGAAGTGAGCAAGTTAAGGCTGTGAAGCAAACAAGAAAGATGAATGAGCAAGAGACAAATAAGCGAGAGCGAGTGCAGTAAAACAGGGTGAACGTGAGAACAAAAGAGAGCATAAGTAGAGAGCACATAAAAAGAGATGAGCAAGTAAAAGAGCATGTGATCAAGACAGAAACAAACAAGTGAGAGTGAGTGAGTGACAGAGCAAGAGAGCACAAGAGACAGACTAGTGAGCAGGAATGAGGGCATGATCTGCAGGATGAGTGAGGGCTTCCCATGGGGTAGGCGTTATGCAGTTAGATGCCCCTGCAGAATCCGGGGGTGCAGTCTCTCCTGCAGCCCAAGCCAAAAAGGTTATGGAGGGTATTGTCCAGTGACTGAAAAGAACAGGGCATGCTCACAGCAGCCTTAAGTTCCCATTCCTGCCCGTATCAGCAACCACATAATCACTGAAGACTGCTAGATAATGCCCATGACTAAAACTGTGTTGGGAGAAGACAGAAAAACACTAGTTTAAGCAGGAACAGCTAAAGATGACTTTAAGCTGCCTCAGTTGAGGATGGGGAATGAGACCAAGGAGATCATCATAAAAAACATGGCCAAAAAACCCCCCAGTTACCAGGGCATGTTTGGGTTGAATTTGGAAGATATGAGGGTGAGCTTGGGAGAACTCTCTCATCCCGCATTACACAATGAGCAATGGCAAGGAGAAGGCAGCAGATGACTATGCCAATCATACCATTGTCCATCACAGAAGATAATATCATAGGCTTGACACACCACCACTGCTCCCAGATCTAGAATACAGTATCCAGTTACTCATGCTTTGGGGCTCTTCCAAGATGACCAGGCTTTTCTTCTACCAATTCTTTTGGTTCTAATATAAATTACATTCAAGATTGATCCAGGTAATTTAGGCTGTTTGCAGATTGTCTTCCCTTCCTTGAAATTCTTCCTCTGCATACATAGCCTAGGAGAAGCTGCAGAGGAAGAATTTCAAGGAAGGGAAGACAAGCAGAGTTCATTAATTAACTGTTTGTTTCAGGCTGCTTGGGTCTTCTCATGACTCCTTCTATCTATCTCCTTTCCAGATAAAGTTTGTTGGGGGGAAAATGAAATAGCTGTACAAGAACTGTGGGCTGATAGTGATAGGAGCCTTTCATCTGGAAGAAACAGTTAATAGTAAAAACAATTTCAGAATACATGGAAACCTCTTTCTGGAAATTTTATGTGATTTCTTGCCTGCTTACACCCCTGTGTAAACTATATATGTGAATAAACTCAAACACTGTTGAAACACAAGGAAAAATAAAGCTTGATGAAGTCTGGCCTCGAAATACCTGATGATTTCCTAATATTCATTTATGGATCTGAAATATACATTTGGAATAGATTAGGAAAAAAATTACAGTTAAACACAGCTATCTGTGTAATGGAAGTAAAATGAAGTAATTCATGCTTAGCATAAAAGAAAGGAAAAAATCAAGGAAAAAAAAATCAGTTAAAAACAAATTTACTGTATGAATAATCTAACCAGAGAGATGGTTACCTTCGGTTTCTGTTGTGGTAAAGAATTTTCATCTCAATAGCTTTAGCTCTTTGGGCCACCTTGTAACCAATTCTGCCCATTCCAATAATACCTAGAGTTGCACCAGTTATTTCTTGTCCCAACCAGTCAATATTAAAATGTTTAGTATCAGGGGAAACTGTAATCTGGTAACCTAGACATTTAAAAACAAAACAAAAAGAAGTGGATTATTGTAGTAATAAATCAGTCAATATACAAATAGCACAGATCTCACTCTTGTGGCAAACTGCATTGACCTTACTGATTCTGAACTGTGGGCAGGTGCCACACCAGAGAAGGCCCACTTCCTGCTACAGGTACTTGTAGCAAGGTTTCAACTGCCCTGAAGGAAACCTAGAAGTCTTTCTTCACAATCCTAGCTAAATTGCATGGAGACTCTTATATTCCAGAATTGGATTATGGCATTAAAACCAGTCTATGGTGTCATAGGGTCAAATTTAACTCTGCTGGTCATGGAAGCTATGATGGCAGGTGTCTAGGCAATACCAAATTCATAAACTAGATTGGGAGGTAGACAAAACATTATGGAAGAAAGCAGTAGCAAACATCTTCCTTATTGACAAGAAAACTAAAGGACATGACTGTGAAGTCACCAGAAGTTGAACTCAGCTTGAAAGAAACTTTCCTGTTTTTAAAGATTCTAACATTACATACATACTTAATGTTGACTGCCAATGATTGTCTAAGTTCATGATGACAGAGATTTGGGTAGGATTTTCTTTCCAACAATTTTCAAAGATTGCTCTACATGACCAGCAAAATGTTACAATCATGTATTTTTAGGGCTATGCCCTTTCAGATAGATCTTAAATTTTAATGCACACCAGATAAAAATTCTGTATGTATGAAAAGTCACAGCATGTGGCAATATGTAGTCATTTTGGGATAATTAAAAAAAAGCTAATTACTACTCTAATGGGAGATTATCCAGAATCTCATAACTGTATATTAGATTCGGAAATTTAAAAAGTCCCAGAAAAAAGCAATAGTTAGCCACATCCATCATATCATCAAAACATGCATTTATGGAATTACCAAAAGCTAAGCTTGATTCAAATAAGACTTTAGTGTTATGGGTGGAAATGTAGGTTGCTACAGAGGTCACTAAGTTAGATTCCTTCCTAATAAAGTAGTTTTATATATCCAAGAATTGGCTTTTTTTTCTGGAGGGGGGAAGTTCATGTAATTCAATCTTATATATTGCCAAAAAGACTCTAGCGATAGTTGCTCAGTGTGGAACTTGGGAAGCATGTGTCTTTCTCAGCTCTGTGTCCTAACACACGTTATATTGCTAGTGCTTGAGACCAAATATCAGGCAAGCAGATAGACACCGTAGCACAGAGACTGAAGATCATGTTACCATTTACTTTTTATAAAACTCTATGGCTTCAGATGTGTTTCTGGATCCAGTTCAAGAGGCTGGCTATCACCTTAAAAGCCCCTGAATTGGTTGAACACAGAATCCTTAAAGATTATCTCAGAGGGACCTATCAATAGTGGTCATCTTTAGAAGCCATACTCCAAATTCTACTACAAAGAGAAGTGTGATTAATAAGGATATAGACCAGCATCCCAGTGGTGAGCCTCCTGGTTAGATTGGTTCCAGTTTTGATGTGTTTTAGGCAGTGACAGAATGTTTATTCTGCCAATCATTTCCTGCATTTTTAACTTGCTAAAAGATTTTTCTTTTAACAGGTTTAGTCTTGTTTTTTATTATCTATCCATAAGAGCTTTGAAATATCACTATTGTAAATTGCCTTATTAAGGGATTTCTCTTGTTAGGAGAAAAATCTGCTATAAAATAAATATATGGTTATTCAAATTGTAGAAAATCACTATATCTTCCTCGATCCTGGCAATGCATTGTTAACATTTCTTGTATCACTATAATCATAAAACTCTTGGCAGTGCACAAAAATGCAACATAAAACATCCACAGTAAAAAAAATAAAACAGCCATGTTACAATGAATAATCATAATTAAAAAACTAGCAACATTCATTATAAAACCAGAACATGCAAAAAATTCACATGATGGCATCATCTCAGTAGTTAAATTTAAAAAGCCCTCTGGAACACCTCTATCTTAATCAACTTCCAGAAGGCCTTTAGTCATCCAGGAGAACTCTGTTCCATAACATGCAGGCCAGGATAAAGGAAGACCGCCTTCTGACCTCATCAACTCAGTCTTGCTTGGGTTCAGTTTCAAAATGTTCCTTACACATTCAAACTCCTTCTGTCTCCAGACACCAGGAGAGGACTTTGACCACATTACTAGCATAGCACTAGATAATGATGTACACTTGGGTATCATCAGCATATTGATGATATCATACCCTGAATGGACAGATTATCATTCCCAGGAACTTCATGTAGATATTGAAAAGTAGGGGGAGAGAACTGAACCCTACAACATTCCATAGGTGAGATACCACCAGGTTGATTTCTCCTTACCCACAACCATACTGGAATCACCTGCTAAAGAATCAGTGCAACCTCTTTAATAGCGCCCCCAACCCCGATTGCTGGTTCAAAAGAATACCATGATCAATACTGAAAGCTTCCAAGAGTTTAATAGGACCATATGGGGCATACTGCCTCTATCCAGGTCCTGACAAAGATAGTCAACCAGTACAACTGATGCAGTTTCCATCCATTATCCATTATCTGATATATTCCATAGTTCATAGGGGCAGCAGGTTGGCATATATTGACAGACCTTGGCATAATCCCTATGCTGAGTCAAACCTAGTTAGTACTTGGATGGGAATCATGAGAAAATTCCAGAGATATAGACTAAACTGGAAAATTAAAAACATATTCTGGGATAAGACAGTGGCAAAGTACTTGATTATACTATATCTACAAGGTGGTCTTTTTTTAACAACCATAGGGACCCATGGAAATCAGTGACTTTAAAACGTAAAGAGTACAGTCTCTCTCTCTCTCTCTCTCTCTCTCTCTCTCTCTCTCTC